GAGCTAAATGTCTAGTCGTAAATGTCACTAGGATTCATTCTAAAATAGTCTCCTGCCAGTAAGGAACTGGTACGTGTCCTCTAACCGGCGGTTTTGCTACCAAATGGCATCGCAGGATAAACGGTTATGACCCGGGGCCCTCTGAACCTAGTGGTTTTGCCGCCAAATGGCACCACAAATAACGGTTATGGTCAGAGACAATACGTTCCTTAGTGACATCAAATCCTTGAGATATGAATCAATAGGATATGATCGACAGGGCACGAAGCCCTCTGTCAGCTAAGGTAGATTCAAATTTGTCCCCTTAGGCAAACATCTAACCCAGGTCTACAAGGTTCCCTTGGACGAAGCAACCCATGGCTGCTGATAAGGATCCTTATGTCAGGTTGGGTCGACTACCTCCTCTGACTAAGTAGACTAGGGACCATGATGGCTCGGGCCGACGGAATCATGGGATCTTGATCGGGTCTATCATCCACTCCCCCACCATCCGCTTTAAGTGAAAGATGGTGGAAATTTCTTTTTTTAAATATCAAAATCTCCAAATTCTCCAATCCCTATGCCCATTGCTGCTACTATATTCCAGATATCACGTATTCTATACGTATCTGATCGATGACTAGCCTTAATTGAAAGTTCTCTCTCGTGATCGGGAGGGGTAATTAATTATAGGGGCTTGCGCCTATAGGAACCAGAACTCAGATCATAATGTCCTCGCAAAATGAGGGTGAAATCTTTGGCTAGTGTCTTATCTACAAATCCATCTGCCTTCCAAAATTTACCTCAGAACTTATTTTGTTAAAACTCCCTCGCCAAATAAAAGCAAAATAGTAGTGCGGCGGGGAGGCCGGGGCCGAATTTTCGGAGCCCATATCAACATGCATAATCATTTACATAATCTTTCCATAGAGACATATGTATGTAGTGTAGCTTTTTTATAATAACCATTTGTCTTGAACATGAAGTGCATGAAAGAAACTTCTATGAAATGCTTAGAGTTTTAAACATTAACTATGCATTTATTATATATCAAATCAAATAAAGATTGCATTTGCCATGTATCAATTAACTAGAGATATGTATTTGCCATGTATCAATTAATTAGAGAGATGCATTTTCCATGTATCAATTAACTAAAGATATAAAATATAAAGAAACAATAAAAACATAAAGGAATATGATTATGTAGGGTAAGAGGTTCCTACCTCAATTGCACTTTGAAAGCCTTCACTTCACCAACCTCTCTTTAATTATTCTTTCCAAAACCAAGGGGAAACATTACAACATAAGCCTCTTATGTAAATTCAAACCACTATATCACACTAATCCTACACATGACATATATAAATACTTCCCTTAAGCTCATTATACTCCTCCTACCCATATCCTCAAGGTAAAAGAGATACAACAATAACTGTAAAACCCGAAAACTGTTAATCGAATGCGTCGCACACTTTTCGTTGCGCTGCGACGAATTTAGGTGAAATTTATAGTTGTCGGAATTCGACGAAATAAATTTTATAAAATTCTACTCAAAATTTCGATCGAAACAGTATAAAGAACCTATACTTAATTTCGCATGATTTTGAAACTAAAATTCGTCGAAGTTCGTTTAAGTATAATTTAACCCTTTATACCCATTTTTCCCTCATGAACTCTTAAGAAAAGAAATGAGGGAAGGGGCACATGCGTAATTTGGCATTTAATTTTTCCCTTAACCCCCTCATCCTCATAGGGACCGATTCTTTCGGTCTCTTGTTTGCTCTTTCGGCCTAACCGAAGGAGAGAGAGAGAGAGAGAGAGAGAGAGGAGGAAGAGCGGCAGAGCTTGGGGAAGGAGGCGGATTCCGACGACGGTTTAGAAGGAAAATTGAAGGGAAAGCTCAAGAAAATATAGAGGTAAGCTTCTAATGCTAGAAAGGTTTCATTTCCATTAGATTTCTTGAAGAAGGAAAATTAGGGTTTTTGTTTTTGTTGGGGCTTTCTTAGAAAAATTATAGGGTTTGTTTATGAGCATATTTCTAAGCCGTAAACATGAATTTTTCTTAAGGAAAAACTTTAGTTATTAGGTTTCTCCAATTTTAATTATTTTTGAAAGAAATGTTAGAAGAACTTAAGGGAAGGAATTGTATGAAGAAAAATGCAAATTTTCTTCAAGAATTTGGGTTTTAAAAATTAGGGCTTTTCCAAAATTAGGATTTTTGAGCTTGAATGTTCACAAAAGTTGTTCCTAAAGGTAATGAGAGGTCACTAATTAAAAGAAATTGAAATTTTGATAAAAAAATATTTTTCCTAATTTCTACATAATTTTAAATCCAAAAATTAAACTGTTAAATTACATTTTTTATTAATGAAAATAATTGATATAAATGTATTAGATTGTGGATATGTGATAAATTAATAAATGTGATAAGTATGCTTTAGGTTATGGGTAGATTAATGAGCATTAATAATCTTAAGTATATAATAATTAATAGAATGTATAGGGTGTAGGGATAATGGGGTATGATTGGTTTAGAATGGTATAAAAAAGGCTTATGATGTTATTGTAAATTTTACCTTAGGTGTTGAACCTTAGACGAGGACGATTTAAGAGGGAGTTGTGCGAAGAAACCTCAAGGTAAATAACACATTGCATTCTACATTTCATAGTCTTCTCTTTAAATATGTTTATATAACATTGAATTGTCTTGCACTTGAGCATCATTAGAATTATGTCTTGCATATGCTTATGAATATCATTGGAGGCATATTTTATATATGAGCATCATTGAAACATTGAAATTATATAGGACTGTTAGCACTAATCTTGTAAAAGTTTATGTTTCTTAAGTTGCATATGGTATTAACCTTAGTTTTTTTCATGTATGATTCATAGGAATAAATGTTTACTTTCATGCTTACAATAAGTTTTCATATGTATGTGGCAAATCATCTTATGTTATGATATGAACAACCTTATATTATGTTATGGAATACAAGTTTGTGCATGTTGATTTGCGGAGTAGCAAATATAGTGCCTTGGCACAATAAGGTTCTTTGGAACAATATGGCTCTTCAGAGTAATATGATGATGAATGTCCAAATATGAGTTTGTACTTGATCAGTACAATATGGGTACTCCGGTACGGGTGTATAGTATATAAATAAGCTATATCATGTAAGAGTTAAATGAGGTAAGCATATGATATGTAAGATGGAACATGTAACTTAGACAAACACATTACATATGACATCAACTTAGGAGCATATGACATATAGGAAAGAACATATGGTTTTGACAATTATGGACTTACATATAATATATAACATCGACATCTGTAAGCATACGATTATATCTTTGTATATTACTTCTTTTTCATTATATAAATTTTAGATGTGATTTGTCATTTGTTGAGCATAGCTCACTCCCTAGTTTCGGGATACTTTTCAGGAGAACCTACTTGTAGGTGAGGCGGAACACCCAAGATTCACCTATAGTTGTTGTATGCCGGCTGACAGGTTCTTTTGATGTTTTTCTAGTTATAGTTGATTTTCTTTTTGGGTGATTTTGGCATGATTAGTTTAGTTTTGTAACCATCTTGTGTTTATGAACTCTCTTTTGTTATGACTTGAAGTGTTTAGTATATGCTTGGAAAAAAAATTAAAGGTGCTTTTAAATCTCTGTTAAAGCCTTTTAGATTTTTAAATACATGTTTTAAGATGATTGAAATGTTCTGAACGTCCGATTTCGTTAACCCGCCTCGTCTATACGAGCTAACCGGGCCGGGTCGTGACAATAACAACAACAACATAAAATCGCATTTATACATCATCATCCCTACACAAATTATGATAAATAAATAGCATATGGTGTAATGTTAGGGTTCAACTTGAACCGGTCCTAATTTGACCGGTTTACTACAGGAGGCGGGCCCTAAGGGGGGCTGAAATGGGAAGGAAGGGCAGCACATGGGTGGGGCCCAAGCATTAATGTATGCATTATGGGAGCTTGGGTTTGGGGGGAAAATTCAAATGTGAAGGGTTGTTTAGTGATTCAACATTAAATATTTGTAACGTGCTTTAAGTATGCTTCTTTTGGCTAGGATGAGGGTCATCTTGAATTTGAAAAACAATTTGAGATCTAGGGTTTGTTTTCTTGGGCTCTAGGCTTGGCTAGAGATTTGAAGAGCTATTTCTTCCTCTCGAATTGAAGGAACTTGTATCGTTTGCTGTTTTCTTTCATCTATTAGTGGATTTCCTCATTTTTCTCTCAGTTTTCACTGTTCTTCTATGAAAATCTGCTGTTTGATTGCTGTAAACAGCAGTTTTTTCACTGTTTTCAACCCAATCTTGCTAGGTTTGCTTGCGAACTCAAATATTAACCTTGGGGTTACTTGCGAACTCAAGTACTTCTTTCATAAACCTAAAAAGTCTTGGTTAGAAAGTATTAGAAGTGATATTTTTTATTAGATTTAAATAATAATTTGACTTTTAATTGTGTCTAATAGGACACAATGAAGAAAACTGACTCATGTAGCCGACCCCACATAGTGGGATAAAGGTTTTATGTTATTGTTGTCCATAGCACATAAAAGTCAATTTCTTAAGTTGGCCTAATTTTTTTGAATGTTTTGCTGGATACATTTCTTTTATTTGTCATGACCATCGGCATTGGTTCTGCTATGGCTTAAATGGTCTCTTGTTTTTATCTATGAAGACTAAAGACACTTTAATGGATTTGTGCAATATGACTTTTTGCTATCAGTTTTTCCTGCATTAGAAAGGGAAATATTACTGTTAGAGTTTATTAAATTGATATTCATCCCTTCCTATATCTTCCTCTTAGGATTATTTCTATCCAAATTCCATCTTATACTATCCATATACGAAGTCTGGTGTAATTTCCTGGCATGTACTGTTATTATTTCTTGTATACTTTCTTATTACCATAGCTGCGTACAAATTTTGTCCTGTTAGAACATATGTTTTGAAGCTTCTTTTTTCATGATTTTTGCACAGTTGCATGCAAAGGGCAAAATATGATCTTGGAGAGGAAGCTGTACATCGCTTTTCCTTGCCAGCGGAGGATAAGGCGGCTCTGGATCTTGCTGAATGGGTAGCTGGTGCTTTTAAGAGAGTGTCGGTATGGTAGACTGAGATACAACCATTTCATGTCTAACATGAGTAGCATTTTTTTTTAATCATTGAGTTTTATTGGAGAGTTTCATTTTCCTCTTATAATGGTTTGAGATTGAAAATCATTATATTATCATTAATAGCTTTTGTATTCTTTCTTTTTTATTGGATTATAAACCTTGATTATTATAATATTTAGATAGCAAATAAATGATATTTATATGTTTTAAATTTATTTTGAAAAGGCATAGGATAGAGCAGCATGAGAATTAATTTGATGTGCATCAAGGAAAACAATATGTCAATAACATGGTGAATTTATTAATGCTATGTTTGATAGAGTATTAACTAGAATTAGAAATAGCTGTGGAGTGTTCTAGTGTTATGCGATTTGAGAATACTTAAAGACTTAATTTCTTTGATGGTGATATAAATAGAACATCTACATCCACCATAACCCAATAAAAAAAAGAATAAACCAAAAAAGGCATATAAAAAGATTATTTTGCTAAAGCTAATTTATTTTGAAGTATTACTCATCTTTATATTAATGAAAAATATTTAGGAAAGATGAAGATAACTGATATAGCAAAAGAAGTAGATTGGGAGGTATTGGATTCCACGGGTGATGAGGTAGGTGAGAGAGCAGTTCATTATGACGATTCTTCAAATGAAGACCTTAGTGATGATAACACTGATGACTTCGGAGTTGCTATGCCATAACTATTTATTTTTTGAATTAAATGTCAATGAGTAGGATATTGGGAATGATAGAATTTTGAGTTGAACTATATTTTATGTTGTTTTATTATTGTGATGTTTGGATTTCAATTCTATTTCACACAATTTATTACTTGCCACTTTATATCTTGTGCATTTTTTGTTTCGTATATATGACAATTTATTTCTAATATCAACTTTTAATATATTATGTTATTATACAAAAAATTCTCATTTTGGCTATATGCAGTTTTAAATTTTGAGGATCATGCCGTAAGGGTTATGCCTCATCTCACAAATGGAAAACGCGTCAATACTCAATTGCGCAATTTTAAACTTTCTACATGTATAACATTTTGTAATTTTTTTCACAATCTTATATTTCATTATTTATTTTTCATTCCATTTCTTATTATTGAGTCCACAAGTTCATCTTAGTTCTACTCTTTTGAAGAGCGGTTGATAGATATTTCGGTAGCCTCTTGCCATATCTCCCTCAGAGGGGACATCTATGGAGAGTCATAGATCTCCCCAAAACGAATAAAAATTGTGAATGATTGTTGTCTAGGATAGTGTGATAAAAATTGTGAATGATTGTTGTCTAGGATAGTGTGATATGGGTCTTCATATCGACCATACTTAAAAAGGGTGCAAGACCGTGAGGCAATTTTGTTGATGATAAGTAAAGTGAAGAATTTCAACAATATCAAAATTAAACACAATATTTTTTTTTTGATAAATATTTCCTTTGTTAACTATCCTTTTTATGAATATTCTATTTTTTTATTTTTTGTACGTCTCTTTGATCAAAGGATTCGGTAAGAGCGAGATGAGCGGGAGTTGGCTTGTGTAGAGAGGGAGACGGGGCAGGCATGCGAGATATCATAACTAGCAGGCGAATTCTGAGTGATTTAGTTTTTAGATATTAACTTTTTCCCTTTTCTTACAAAGCAAGACGATGAGATGGATAAGGGGCTTCTTGTGAAGGGCAAAAACAAGATTTTCAAGATTTTTGTTATGGGATGGGATGATGTAAGAATTTTTTTTCTAAATAATTTTGAATAACTAAAAAATATGTTGACTCCTCGCACAATTCCTCTTTACTCATTGTTTTGAACATAGTATCGTCGCCTTCGATAAATTGTGAGTCTTGTCTTCATGCGGTGACTCGGGCAATATGAGTGTCCTTTGTAGGTGTTTTTGACGTGCCAAGACAATTCATTTAGTTGCGATTGAGGCATTTCTCGATAGACTCAAGCAATGCTGCGTTTGTTGGATGTTATTTTTTTTGCATGTTTGATTAAATAGTCAAGGGATGCATATGGAGGTTATAATGAGGTCAACAGCTCTTTCTCGCAAATCATCATCAAGCTTAAAGTGTGGGTTGTAGTTGATGCTTTCAAGAAAAGCATTATCATAACGTATGAAATATTTTGTTTATGGAACTCTTGCTACCAGTGGTCTACATTGCTGGTGCATTATAAGATATGAGATATTATGTTTTTCAAAAAGAGAATTAATAGAAGTATTATATTTAATATTTACTATAGATTGCCGATAAATAGATACATAGATATTGGTTGAGTGACTCTGATTGCATTTATCAATTTCATGCAAGATCTTACATTTTCCATGGTTCTTTGTAATGAAGTTAATGGTTAGTTTCTTTAGGGAGATCTATTATATAACTTCACATTCTTATAGTTCACTGTTTCTTTCTATGAATAATCTAGACAGGTTATTGACTTTTTTTAATTGGTTCTTCATCTTTGCATCCATGTTTTGTTTTGTTTTTTTTTTCTTTTTTTTGTTGCATTTGTTTGATTGCATATGCATGAATGCTTTTATTATTCACATGTTCTTGTTTTTCATTTTGATGTCCTTTTATCTGATTCTGGTGCTTTAATATTTACGGCTGGGTGTTTACTTGTAGTTTTGTATTTTCAGATGGAAGATGTTGTTGCTCGTGTTGCAGAGGGCACTTCTAGTGCTGTCCAGGATTTAAAATTTTCATCCCTTCGTTCTAAGCTAGGTCCTTTAGCTGCTGTAAGTCTATCAGAACACAATTTAATTTTCTGAAAGTAGTGTCTTAATATCTCGTTATATTTTTTGTTCCTTCAGATTCTCCTTTGTATGGATGTAGCGGTAGCATCTGCTAAATCTGTGGATACCTGCAAAGTGCTTTTGCGGCAGGTATGTTTATGTAACATTATTTGAGTATGCAGCATCCCAAATGGTATTAATTCCCCTATAGTTGGCTCTTTTCCTGAAAAAGAACAATAGTTCTAAAACTTTGTAGACAAGGGCAATTATTTATCATATTTTATAAACAAGGACAACGAATTCAAGAAACCTTGACATAACAGGCTTTGGTATTTCTATAATTTATCATATTTTATAGATTTCTTGAAACTTAGTATTATTACTTGAGTTATATATTACTTTGGTGTTTTTACTAGAGTTTATTTTGAATCTGTTATACAAAATATGTATTACTCTAATTATAAAAGAAGGATTTCATAGTAAATTCCAGAAGAAATACTATGGTTTATGATAAATTTTAGTAGTGATATTAGGGTTTTATAAGAAGCCTAATAATAATATTAGGATTTCATGACAAACCCTTGTGGTAATGGCAAGGGTTTAAGAAACCTAAACAGAAAGGTTTCAAGAAACTCTGGCATGTGTTCAACATTTAGTTAGTTCTATTTACAAAATATGATAAACTATTCACTCTTTTTTTTTGGTACAAATTTTGAAAAGAAATATTCTTATTAAACAAAATGCCACACCTTATGGAGTTCTATACCAATTTCTCATCCTTAAAAGAAGTCAAATTTCTTACTGGTGACGAACTGTGAATAACTATTTCCCATAACTTTGAACACTCACCAACATTTATACTTTTCAAGCTTCCTATTTTACTTGATAGAACATGAACTGAGGTCTATTTTTTGTTAATTTCCTACAGGCCAGGGACATGCTATCTGAGATCTATCCAGGAACCTCTCCAAAGACAGGTTCCTCTTATTGGGATCAAATTCGGGACGTTGCTATCATATCTGTTATAAGGCGTGTGCTTCAACGCCTTCATGGTCTAGTGGAACAGGTTTACCTCTGGTTGGATACCATGCAGGGCTTTGAATTTTCTTGTTAGTGTTTTTTCCCCTTGATTTGAACAAGATTCACTCCCTTAATAATAAAATAATTACAAAGCTCTCTCTCTATCTCTCTATTGTATGTATATGTCCATGGGAACTGGGAAGTATTTATTTGTACGTGTGATGTATGAGTATTTATTTGTATGTAAAGGTGATGCACAAGATTGTGCGAATTATAGAGGTATTAAGTTAATGTGTCATACTTTAAAACTATGGGAGCGAGTTATGGAGCATAGGTTGCGGCGTGATACTAATGTTTCTCAAAATCAATTTGGATTCATGCCGGGTAGGTCGACTATGGAAGCCATACATTTATTAAGAGGTTTGATGGAGAAATATAGAGAAAATAAGGAGGATCTACATATGATATTTATTGATTTAGAAAAAGCATATGATAAAGTTCCAAGAGAAGTGCTATGGAGAGTTCTTGAAAAGAAAGGAGTCAATAATGCTTATATTCAAATCATTAAAGATATGTACGCAGGAGCTATTACTTGTGTTCAAACACAAGGTGGTTTGACCAAGTATTTCCCTATTTCGGTTGGGTTACATCAAAGATCAGCCTTAAGCCCATATCTTTTTGCTTTAGTCATGGATGTTCTCACTAGACATTTGCAAGAGGATGTACCTTGGCGTGTGCTTTTTGCTGATGATATTCTTCTTGTTGATAAGACTAGAGAGGGAGTTGAAGGTAAACTTGAATTATGGAGGTCAACCTTGGAGTCTAAAGGTTTTCGCTTGAGTAGATCTAAAACGGAATATATGGAGTGTAATTTTAGTAGTAATAGACCTAGTGAGGGGATTGTGACTTTGGGCGATCAAGTCATTAATAAGAGTACACGTTTTAGATATCTTGGATCTATTGTTCAGAGTGATGGTGAAATAGATGGGGATATTATCAGCAGAATTCAAATTGGATGGTTGAAGTGGAGGAATGCATCGGGCTTGTTATGTGATAGAAATGTACCCCTCAAACTTAAGGAAAAATTCTATAAGATGGTAGTGAGGCCTGCAATGCTTTATGGTGCCGAATGTTGGCCTTTAAAAGAGAAGCATAATACTAAGTTAAGTGTGGCAGAGATGAGGATGCTCAGGTGGATGAGTGGCTTTACCCTTAGAGATAGGATACGAAATGAGCATATACGTGAAAAGGTTGGTGTAGCTCCAGTAGAAGATAAGATTAGAGAAAGTCGCCTTAGATGGTTTGGTCACATAAAACGGCAGCCTTGCGATGACCCGGTTAGGAGAGTAGAGGTATTAGATTTGACTTATGTTAAGAAAGGTAGGGGTAGACCTAAAAAGACTTGGTTAAAAAATATTAGGAATGACCTTTCTTTATTAGATTTAAACGAGAATTTGACTTTTAATAGGACACAATGGAGAAAAAGGATTCATGTAGCCGACCCCACGTAGTGGGATAAAGGTTTGATGTTGTTGTTGTTGTTGTTGTTGTGTGATGTATGAGTGGACTTTAAAAGATTTGCCTCATTTCATGAGAGCCGAGTTGATAGTATTTTAAGGTGACAGATTAAATAGTATTTGAAACACTAATTAGAGATTTTACCCCTATTTGAGAACTTATTGTTCTTGGTTCAAAGTTACCCTTGGCATAATCCCCTTGTCAATTATGTCTTTTACTAATGAGAGAGAACTTTGGATTGATTTTAGCCATTATACTCTCTAAAAGTTTGTTATGATGACTTTCCTTAGGTTTTGATTTGATGTGGTGCTATGGAATCTGCACATATGTTGGAAGGAGAGTGAGAGGAACGATGAAAAACCTGATTAAAATCTTATGATTTTTTTTATTATGTTGATATGCCTTGATCTATATAGTAAATTAATGGTTATTTACCAATCCTAGATCTAAGGATTCTTGTTAGCATCCAAGGATTATGCTGTCCAAATGCTAATTTAGTAATTAACAACAAATGCTTCACCTAGAATTTTTTGACTCATAAACATGGCCAGTGGAGAATGTGTTTTTTTGGATATAAGATTTGATTATTATCGTTTATGGCCACTTTTAAGGCATGACTAATTGGATCGAAGTTTCTTATGATGGGACAATATAAATAGCTTCATGTACACAACTTGAATCTAGTAAGCTCAATTGGCTATAAACAATTTTCCCAGAATCATCCTTCAGGTAGATAGGATTTTAGAGGTGACCCCTACAAGTTCAAGTGGTGGCTCCTGTCATGTAGCACTTTGTCCCATACATGGTTTAAGAGGTGGCTCCTATGACATATCAATTTATCTTATATGGCACTTAGTTCCCATCTTCCGTTTGGTGTATTGATCTGATACCATTTTGATTTTTGGGCATGACATCGATAAACCTTCTTTCCTTTCTCTTTGATTCGAGACTCTCACCCACTAGATTTCTTCTTATTTGAATTTTTTCTTATTGGACAATCACATATTTTTCTTCAGTCATGGGAATCAAATTTTATAAATTCCCATCTCTAAATTTGAATAGAAAAAAATAAGAAATTGAAATCACTTACACTTCCTTCTTTGTCTCCCTCGAACACACAAAATTCTTTTCTCCCCACCTCCTCTTTCACCAAAAGAATATAAGGTAAAGAATTACTTACTTATTTTGAGTAAATAGTGAATAATAAACTTCTCTTCTTTCTTATCCATTTTTTTTTTCGTTCTCCAAATTTTCATTTTCTTCCTCTTAGTTGCTGCCTCCCTTCAGTTTCTATCATCTACCACTTGCGTTCGTCTGATTCTATTGGAGTGAGTGAAATGGACATATCTCTCTTGAGGAGTTGTAGCTTTTCATTCCCGCATGTGTTTCCTCACTCGTTTGCACTGTTCTGTCCCGCTTGCTTCTCAACCTGCTCCACTCTTTTTGCTCGCTGGTTAATTAGGGTCGGTTCAACTGTACCGGCCATGTTGGTTCTTACAGCATATATCATTTTGACTGCCCTGATGTGTGTTAAGACCTCTCTTCTAGAGAATTTTCTTTTTAGTTATCCAAGAATTTAAGAGTTAGGCTCGGTAGTTTCTACTTGCTCTTTTAGGCATTATTTCAGGGAAGCCGGCCTTTCACACTAGCTCAAAATCTGCACTCATCATTTGTCCCAGTTTTCACATCATCAAAAATGATACTTTCAACATCCAAATTTGCAACCAGAACTGGAATGTTTGGATATGCGGAAACAATAATTATGATAGCAATATTTTCTATTAAAAAATTAACATGCAATTATTGATGTTCAAATTTTTCTTGATAAGGCAACTTGTCGATAATTTTGAAAATATGATCAATAAATATATCAGTATGAAACTTTAAATTTAGTTTCCTACTAATTTTTAAAGGATTTCAAAACCTTGCATGCAATTTCTTATATTTGATCCGCACGAAACATTCCAAATTTATACGAATGATGACTTGGACCATTATTCTTATGAGCACTTCTCTTAATATTTATAACACTATAAAATTTCTTTTGTATCATTCAGTTGGCCTTTTTAAATTCTCATGTAAATCTTGTATAGGTTGTGCATCTTTGTAGTTGTATCATATTATGCATGCAGTAGTAAATGATCAAGATCTATACGTTTTATAGTTTTTTTTTTAAAGCAAATGTTTCAACCAGATAATGAAATGAGTAAACAAAAGACAATGATAGTTAATTGCCTGATTATATATATATATATATATATTTAGTATAGGTTTACATTATGATGAAGTTTAAACTATCCATATGATAGTTAATGTCTTAATGAGATCCGAGCTCAGCTTTCATTTGTGCATCACAGCTTGTAGTCTAGTGAATGAGTGGGAATTTCGATAGATTTTGTGCACATCTTATCCAATTGGATGTCAATACTTGACAGGCTAACGTTTGAATAAGAAGGCTGCTCATACACAGTGGCATCAACATCTTTATTAATAAAATGGGATGAAGGGCTAACTTAATTGGCTGGTTCGAAGCTATGATTTTGAATGTGAAACAGAGTATACTATTTTCCACTTGATTTTTTCACCATTTGTGTACATGCTTGAACTTTGGAAATCGAATTGCGCCCACTACAAGTGGAGATATATTTTGATAATTAGCATGCACCCGACATTCTTGACTGCAATGATTAATTATAATTGATTTTTTTTAGTTCTGGATGGGCGTTGTAGTAACCTGAGTAATTTTATCCAAAAATTTTGCATGTAGTACAATATGAAGAGATACTCTGAAAAACAACATTTTAACAATAACTACAAGAAGATGAGCCAATCCAAAAGTCATTTTTCCGAGACATCCAATTCAACTAGAACCCTCGCCACAAGCAGTCTAGGAAGGTGAGCTGTAGGTTCATTTAACAGTAGTGGTTTGCTGAACATAAAGCCCAAAGACTAAACTGTGTAGATTGATTAAAATAGCAAAGCTTAAATCGAGGAAAGATATTCATACATGAGTAATAGGAGATTTTATGGATGAGTCAAACAGAGGAGACCATTTTAATATCTATATTGGGAAATCATTCATGTGATAGGAGTATCGGGAGAACAATTTCGATTTCTTTGCTTCAACAGATAGTCTAATAATGATCCGTCAATGATCTAGTATCTCAATTGCATATTCTCTATAGCTCTATAAAGTTTAGTACTTGCAATTTCAAATTAGATCTTGCTTATTGATTTGCATATAATGCTAATGTATGCAGATTTAGAAGTAAGAATATGCAGACCTAATTAGTTGGATATTTTTCAATCGAACTGCTTCATAGTTTTTCAAGACTTATATTTACTATTCTTGAGCGTGAAGGGATGACGAAAAATTAACTGTAGGATTTGATAATTTTCATAATTTGTTTTTTCAAAAAAATGAGAAATTTAATTTGACGTCTCTGCCATTTACTATGATCTGGATTAATATAACCTGACTTTTCCTTAAACAAAACTTAAGCTACATAAATTGCATTAATAGTCATG